TTCAAGAATCACCACCAAGGGCTATAAGCCCTGCTACAACCCCGCTTAGGATTGTATGTCACTGCCCGCTTAGAGACTAGTAAAGTAGAAACTAGCAAAAACAGAGTAAATTAAAGCGCAAGGAAGAATCCCAAGCAGAAGAAACTATACATCCTCCATTGCACTCTCTCAAAAGAACTGAAGAATCAAATTCAATGTCGATTTAAAAAAAATAATTCTAAAGAAATATTGCTAACCAAATGCAACATCTACAAAAAAAACATGCGTTTAGAAACCTAGGCGAGAACATTTTGAAGCTTTAAAGATTGGCCTTCAATGGTAAAGATCAAAACGCAATATCTGCCAAAAAGAAATCAAATGAAAAGTGTTAAACAAATGAAATGAATGTGGGAGTAATCAATAATAGAATTTCAAAAAGGGAAACCTGAGTTTAGTGTACCTGGATATGTAGACATCGATTTGAAAATTTCCGAAAAGGGTTTTTGGGAGGAAATCAGCGTGAAACATCAGAAGCACAATCAGGAAGCAAGAAAGGAAACCACAAATTATATTCTGATGACTTATCAGAAGCTAAAAGAAAAGGCACAAATCAGCATGTGTACAGGGAAGCTTTTATACCAGAAAATTAATTTCCTAGCAAAAAAGACAGTCTTCCTGCTTTTTTATTTATGCCTTTTCATTTAGCCTCTAACTAGTTACCGGAAACAAATTCACGGCGACTTTTACGTTGAAGGTGCATGTTAAATTTCCAATAGTTGTGTGTCTAGCACGGATCTGAGAAATATAACTCAGATCAGATGAAATAATTGAACAAAAAAAACATTAATGATTTTTCCAAATCCAGAAAGAAAATCAACACCAACGAAACTATCTTTCAAACAACTGATGTATAATTATAAACAAACAAGCGAAGCGAAATTCACACAAGCAAACAAAGAGATCATAATTAAAACAAATCCAGTAGAATCAAAGAAAGAGATAAGTGAGAAAACGATGAAAAATGAAACTAGTAGAGTCGGCCATACTTACTGGATCGAAGCGTCAATAGCTGTGAAGTTAAAAGGAGAGAGGCTGCGGAAGTGTAAAGCTAAATAAAGAGAGAAATTTATTTGTGAGGGTTTTATTAGGGCAAAAGTTTTTTACTGTCATTAAAAAGGGTAAACTATGCATTTAATGCCTAAACTATTAATTTTTGTACGTTTTAGTATTTAAACTTTTATTTTTTTAAATCATACTTAACGTTTAGTACCTTGTCATTAAAAACTTAAAACGTTTAGTATCTAACTCAATTTTAATATGCTTTAGTGCCTAAATTTTCATTCTTTTCAAAACTTAACGTTAAATTTTGAATGAGATACTAAAATGAAACAAAAACTAAAATTTTTAACGGTGGGTACTAAAATAAAAACTAAATTTTAGGTATGATTTTAAAAAAATTGACAATTTAGGTATTAAAACAAACCAAAACTGATAGTTAAAATACTAAAGACATAATTTACCCTAAAATTCAATTTCACCTCACATGTCTAATTTTAAATGGGTATTATAAATTTAATCAACCAAATTTTATTACACTCGTATTTTAATTATTAAATTTAAAAAATTTCAATTGTTTACTCATTTTAGAGGTTAAATTTTTACCACTCCATTATTATTTTCGTAATAACATGATTTATTTTATTAATATATATATGACATATAATTTATTTTAGGTAAAATACACAAAGGTCTCGATTATTATAAGATGTTGTTTTGTTGAGTTCCTCAACTATTAAAAGATATAAAATTGTCCCTCAATTATAAGACATTATTTCTTGAGTCCCTATACTATTAAAAGTTATAAAATGGTCAAATGACTATTCATATGTTTCAAACTCGTTATTTCTGTTAAAAAATTGGCAGTCCTCTAAGCTAGATGTTAACCTACTGATTGAGATATGATAAAATATGATCCCAAAATTTCAAATGAATATACAACTCAAACAGTTATGAGATCAAATTTAATCATATCACACTTAACAGGTTAACATCCAACTCAGACAATTGTCTGCTTTTAATGATAAAGAAGTTTGGAACATATGAATAGTCGGGTGACCATTTTGAAACTCTTAATAATCGAGAGACTCAACAAAATAATATGTTGTAATTGGAGGACTATTTTATAACCTTTAATAATCAACTCAACAAAGCATCATCATATAGTCGAATGACGATTTATGTACTTTGCCTGAGTAAAGAACCGATGTTAATTTAAAGATAAATTACGTGTTTAGTACCTAAACTATTAATTTTAGCATGTTTTAATACCTACACTTTCATTTTTTTTAAAAAACCATGCTTAAAGTTTAATTTTTGTTTTATTTTAGTATCATGACGTTAAAAACTTTAATTTTTGTTTCATTTTAGTACACTGTTCAAAATTTAACATCAAGTTTTGAAAAAAAAGAAAGTTTAAGTTTTAAAACGGATCAAAAACTAATAGTTCAAGTAGTAAATTCGTTAAGTTTTTAATGTACGAGTACTGAAATGAAATAAAAATTAAATGTTATTTATTGTTTTTTAAAAAATTAAAAATTTATATATTAAAATAGACCAAAAATTGATAATATTTTGTTTTTAATTAATTCAATATTAATCTATTAAAAAACAAATGATTATTTAAAAGGAAGAAGAAATTATACACAACATAAATTCACGTTGGTCCAAGCCACCACCTTGCTTACTCTCCAACGCACGCATCTTCCTCCATTGGTGTACTAGCTAGGGATGATCATGGCTATCGATTAACGTTATAAAATATGATTAATTTAAAAAAATAGGTGAATAACAATATTATAATTTTAGGGTAAATTATGTATTTAGTACTTAAATTATTAATTTAATTCATTTTAATACCTAAACTTTTAATTTTTTTTAAAATCATACCTAAAATTTAATTTTTGTTTTATTTTAGTATTCTTCTGTTAAAAACCTTAGTTTTTATTTTAGTACTCCTGCTCTGAATTTAACGTTAAATTTTGAAAAAAATTGAAAGTTTAGGTACTAAGATGGACCAGAATTGAAAGTTTAGGTACTAAACGCGTTAAGTTTTTAACAACGAGTACTAAAATGAAATAAAAATTAAATGTGGGGTATGGTTTTGAAAAAAATCAAAAGTTCATGTATTAAAACAGACCAAATGTAATAGTTTAAGTACTAAATGCATAGTTTATCCTATAGTTTATAAAATATTAACCTATGGCTATTAAAAATCGAAGTTCAAACATAACATCAGAATATGAGATCAACGAGTTTAGATAACCGAAAACCATAAAGTTCTTAGGAACTCAAGTCCAGGATAACCAATTTGAAACCATCTCTGCTGGTGATTTATCAAAGATGTTGCAGCAAATGTAAATTACCTTTGATTCACCGTCATGAGAAAGCCAAACCTTTCTTCTTCTGGCTTGCTTTCAACAGTTGAGTAGCAAAGTAGGCAAGCAACTTCATCTTCAACAGTTTATCAGCAAATCCCACCCGAAAACCCAATTCCTTAGCCTGGTTGAGCGTAGCTGCCCATTTTTTCAATGTTTCCCAGTCGGAAAACTCGTCGGATTCTTCCATCTCTTTGATCGCAGCGCAGACCAAAACCAGAACACTGAAATGGGCGCTGCCAGCAGCTTTTCCACGATCATTTTCAATTCGAAACTCGATAAGCTTGAGATGGTCTGGAACTTTTCTCCCCGTGGTGTGATCCAATGCTTGTTCTAAGCCTAGGAAATCACGGTTCTCCACTTTGTTGTTGTCTTCGCTATAAAGCTGGTTTTCCAAATCACGGAATTTTAGACTGTAAATCTTCACCATTTTTATCTTGTTCCACAGTGACACCAACATCAGTTGCAGCATTTCCTTCGATAGAAAGCTGAAAAAAGCATGGAAAACTCATTAGGGGAAAAAACATCTAAATTATATAATATGATAAATTTCGAAAATCCAAATTGCATATCATCTCACCAAGTTTTATTCTAAAGAACAAATTTGATTCTCAAAACTAAATATGTTAATCAATTAACGGATTCTATTCAAACAGTGATGATTTTATCTCAAAATGAAAATTTAAAGCTTTAAAGTGCTTTGAGAAAAAGAATAAGAGCTAAATGATTATTTAGCTATAATAAAAAATGGGCACAGTTAATTATTTATGTATATGAGTAGGCTTATATAAAATTTGAGCTTTATATTTTATGTGGGGCTTCAACAAAAATGACGTGTTTATTCCACGCATAAACTCTACTTAACCGGCCCATAAACACCTCTACTTGAAACGTATGAAAAAGGTTGGATATATTTATGTAAGACATGATTTGTATCCGTCACTTGCACTGAATCTCACTAACATGATTGAAAATGAATCTCTATTAGGTCTAAAAATAAGTCTAGCGTATGTGAAAAAAATTACTTAACCAGCCCAACTATTCATTATGGTCTAAACACGTCTTTTTCTGTTAAAAATTTGACAGTTACTTAATTTGGACGTTAACATAATGATTGTGATATAGTCGTTTGAGATTTTGAGATCCGATTTTATGATATCACAGTTAGCAGATTAATATTCATATTAAAATGCGTTTTTTTTAAAGAAAAAAGGACGAATTTTGAACATAATGAATAGTTGGATGACCATTTCACAACTTTTCATAGTCGAGGAACTCGACAAAGCAACACTCTATAGTAGGAGGACTATTTTGTAACTTTTAATAATTGAAAGACTTAATAAAGTAGTGACCTATAGTCGGGGGACCATTTGTGTACTTTACCCTATTTTATTTTATTTTTAATAAACTAATCAATTTTAATTTGTGAAATATTCGAACATATAAACTTGAAAACTTAAAAGTTCAATTACATAATTCAAATATAGAGTTTAGAAATTCAAATGGAATGATCCAAATATAAAACAAAGTCTAAATAAAGTAATAATTGAATTTAAAATAAAAATAGGAAACTGGGTAATTGAGTACCTGTTTAAGTGGGATTTTGCAACTCGGGTGCGACAAGTAAACCTACAAAAACCAGTGTGCCAGGTGCTCAACTCTAAGATTTTTTTTAATAAAAGATATTCGATAATTTTTAACCAGATCAATAAGTCGACAATTCAAAATCACAAGTCGAATATTTTTAAACATCCTTAAATATTATGTATATTGGAAATTATTAATAGTATATATGTATAGTTTATACCTTCTCTCTTGGAGTCTCCTTGCTGTATTCCTGAAATATAAATAAATAAATATGATCAATATGTAAACAAGGGAAAGTCAAAGAATACATATGGCAAATTCCAACATTAATTTTAAGTTTGTATAATAAATTGTATGGTTTTTTATATTATATAACACAAAAATTAAATTTATAATAATATTATAATATAAATATTAGAAAATATATAAAGTTGACGATTTGTATCCATCACTTACACTCGAACCTGACTAACAAAGTTGAAAATGACTCTTAGATCTGAAAATAAGTGTAGTGCGTGAGAAAAGACTAATTTTTATGTGATTTATAAATAAGTAATGTATATGAATGTATTCAGATACAAGTTTTTCATATGATTATGACCACACATGAAAAACAAAAGTTGATCATACACTATACCTGAATATATTCATGTATTCGACACTTGCATTCAGGGATGGGTTGAGAGGAGTTGCTGGCAAATTCATATATAATTTAGATGTTTTCTTTATATTTTCTATTGATGTGTTTTTGCCTCCTAAATTTTATAGGTTCACCTCCTTAATTACAAAAAAACCCTATATCTAGTTCATGGGAAAAGACAGAATTACAATGTGTGATTTACAGATGTTAATCTTATTGAATAAATAATACTACTACGCTGCTAATAAAAATGATGAGAAATATACATACCATACTATTATTCTTAAGGAAGAATTGTGGAAGTTAGAGCATTTTTTCATCAATTTTGTTCGTTTCCTGGAAAAAAGAAACAAGTTAAATCGAGAATTTAGTTCATGAAATCAAATTTCTATTAGAATGGTGAACAATAGCATACCTGAAGGATTTGTTTATACATCTTTCTTGCATTTTGCAAATCCTGAAATTTGGAGATTTAGATGATGAAACAAAAATTTCACAGTAAGATTTATGGGGAAATAGCGTACCTGAAGGAATTTTTTGAAGTACTCGTTTTCCATATTGATCAATCTCTGCTTTGCCGCAGCTACTGTTAATTTACCATCCTTGGGAATCTTCGTGATAACTTTTTTAATTCTTTGGATTTCTGCCTCCGTAGCATGCATATCTTTCCTAAATTCCTGGATTTTAGCTTCCGTATCATCCATATCTTTCATAGATTTCTGGATTTCAACTTTCATAACTTTTTGGAATTCAGCTTTCATAGCACCACCATCTTTCATCATTCCTTGGATTTCGGCTGCCCGTGACCGAAACCCTTCAATGGTATCGCGGATGCCGCCTGAATTATGTAGCAGCTCCCTCGCCTTACATCATTGACACAGTGTCAGTGAAAGGATTGGTAGAGAGACAGAATTTTAAGTGAGGGTGGAACTTAAGAAATTATATAAAATAAAATAAAATTATAAAATTAAATCATCAATAGAAAAATAAACATAATTAAAATTATAGAAAAAAAATTAAAATTTTCTGAAGGTACGACCGCAATCCCACGCTCTGTCTGCCTAGTATTGTTCCCTTAATGTGAAAAGGATAGGCCTTGCTTGTAAAGCCATAGTCCAATCATTCATTTACTAGGGAGGGCTGTTATATATGTGAATTGAATATGAAGGACTAAGTTGAGGTAAGAGACTTTACGCTCTTCAGCCTATGGTTGATTCGATCTATCAAAAGTTTCGCACTTTTCCCCACCGTTAAAGGCGTGATCTGCTCGGCATAAGTCAATTCCTCCGTTTTTTCTGGTTCCCCGGGAGTTGACGATTCACTGGTAAAATCAGTTCCCCGGCGCCAGCTCTGTCTCCTTGGGCGTTTTTCTTTGGCATCGGAAAAGTTGAGAGTTACTCCCCGGTCTCTTTTCCTGCCCGACGAGTTCTCCTGATTATCACCGGGCGATATTTGTGGTTCGTTCATGCCAGATTGTGCTTCGAATGGCGCATTCTCAGGCTGTTGATCTTGGTCTCCATGGGGAACAGAATTCAAATATTTGTGGAGATCAGAAAAATCTATGCCCTCCGAGCAATCGTCTGCGTGGCTCATCATGAACGTATCTGAAAATTCAACTCAGATTAGTTCTAAATCATTGAACTGAAAACAATCAAAATCAGTAAACGGATTCTCCCTATTCAGATAAAAAAAATAGAAAGGAACAATCAAGCCAACGGGACCGAGTTATCTTTCAAAAAACAAAGGAAATAAAACTATAAACTAAAAAATTAAACAAAAAGATACGAAATTAAACGAAACGCCTCAAGTAATTAAAGAAACTACCAGATTGTACTTCTAATGCCACATTCTCAGGCTGTTGACCTTGAAGGTCTCCTCGGGATAGGAAAGCACGATCCTTCCAATAATCGTCAACGTGGCTCATCTTGAACGGATATGAAAATTTCTAAATCATTGAACCGAAAACAATCAAAATCACAAACGATTGCTTCCGATCCAGATCAAAAATAGAAAGGGACAAGCAAGTCAACGGCACTAGGTTATCTTCCAAAACAAAGGATAAAACCTTAAACTAAAAAATTAAACAAAAATATACGAAATTAAACGAAACGCCTCAAGAAATTAAAGAAACTACCAGTAAAGGAAATTATGCAAAATCCAAAGCAAGATAATGATAGATCATAGATGAATTAGTAGATTCAGTAGAAGAACTTAACTGCTTTGGCGTAGCTAAGAGAAGAGGGGAAAAGGGCTAGCTGCCGAAGAGTATAGCTAATGAGATGAAGGGCTTCATTGGTGGGGGACTTTACTTAAGGCCAACTCCCACTTGAGAAAGCGCGAGACTGAGAGTTCGCCGTTGTAATATGAAGCGCGAAAACACTGTACTTCAATATGATATACAGCTGTGATTTGAGTTTAGTTTTTTATGTATACAACATAGATTTCACCACACAACTTTATTTTCACTCTTAATTGGGCACTAAAAATTTAAAAGATTCATTTTACACATTGGGCTTTCGATTTTCTTCTATCTTGATCACTCTTCCATTAAATACTTGCGCATATTTGTGACCGGGTACTTGTCTTTTTAAAAAGTATGAAATGATCCCAAATTTTTCTCTTTTTTTTGTATGGAAAAAACTCTACTTTTCGATTTCTTTATAATCAAGCATATTCTTTCAAATCTCAATGGCGGGAGGTGGAGAAGGAGGAAGCAAGTTGTATATCTTGATTTTACTCTAATTGGATGGCGATAGATTAGACTTATTTGGGATTTCTTGGATTTGTTTAGATTTGGTTTTGAGATTATTATGACTTAGGTAAAAATGAAATTGATAAAATTGTAGGAGATAATAAATAGAATTCATTAATATCTTAAGCATTCGAATAAGACTCAGAAGAATGATAATTGTAGTGTCGGCGTGACATGAAGATGAATTTGTAAAACTTTTATCTTTGAAAGAAGAAGATAAAAAAAATGACGTGGATGACACATGAATTCATGTTAATGAAAAGTCGTTCACATCAACACATGTATCTATCGTGTCACATTTCCATTTTAAATTATCCCTCATTGAAGAAAATACTTATATGGTGGGGCAAATGCCAAAATTGACCCTCAACGTTACCTAAATGGTTATTTTAGTCTTTGTAATTTTCTAGAACATTTTGGCCTCAAATATTTCATTTTAAGACAAAAAGATCTTTTCGTAAATAAAAATTGTTAGTTAACAAACAATTAACACTTCAAAATACGAGTCTTTTTTACCCATAAACAAATGTTATGGGCCAAAATGGTCTAGAAAAAAGATTAAGGATTAAAATGACTAGTTATCAAATGTTAAGGGATTTTTTCCACAAAATAAAATGTTGAGAGGTCAAAATATTAAAAAAAATGAGTATGAGCTAAAATGATCATTTGATAAATGTTGTGGGCTAATTTTGATATTAGATCTATGGAGAGTTTAAGAGTTAAGCGCGCAGGACTAGAAATTCACTTCCATCCCATCGAGCCCTGGAACTATTAATTTATGGGTAAAATACATCTCATGCCATTTAATTAGTAGTTAGAATCAAGTCATGCAATTAAAATTTTGTAACATTTATGTCACTCTTTTTTAGTATAACCATTAATATCTGACCTAATCGATTAATTTGAATTATATATTGTAGAGGTTCATTATGAGGATAAATTTTTTAACTCAGTTTGCTCCATTCACAATGTTATATTTCGAATCTTTGACTTTGCGTAAAGAATCTACTCTTAATTTAAAATATAATAACAATTTTAATCCCAACACATATACATTTAAAGCTCATTAAATACTCGATTCGAGTTCTTAATGAACCGAAACGAGCTACTTGATACTTGACAAAAAAAACTCGCGAACAACTATAAAATATAATATATTAAGATTTTATTTTTTTAAATAAATTATTAATAATATTAACATTTATACGATGATTTTTTTATAAAAACATATTATAAAGTTTTCATGTATCTAGGGTTCATGTTCTAGTTTGACTTTGAGCTTAGATACATGAAAACTTCATAATGTCAAAATCGAGTTTGAATTTTTTTTTTTCTCATTTCGAGCTTTTACAAGTTTCAATACATGATTTTGAGTTCAAATCAAACTTGAATATTTTAGACTCGCGGGTTTAGATACTAAATAAGTAGTTCACCCTAAACTTTTTTACTCATCTCATAGGGTTTTCGAGCATTTTTCAAATCCCAACAAACTTATCAAATATAGATCACTTTTATTAATAAAAAATAATTTATAACTTAAAATTAATTATAAAAATATTGGTAAACTACAAAAATGGTTATTAAAGTATGGGTAAATTTCTTTTTCGGCACTAAAATTTTGAAAGTAAAAAATAGTCACTAATATTATCATTTTATTACAAATCAATCACCTGATTGTTAGGTGTCCTTACTCCAATAATAAAATATTAATGTGACATGTTAAACTAGTTTATCTAATATAGTTAGACCACACCTTTTTAATTCAATCTTGTTTTTTCTCCTTCATTTTCCTTACTTGCAACCCGTGAGACATACCGTTACACTTTATGAAGGAGTTGAAGGACAATGATTTCACGAAATACTTTTTCAATAAAAGTTTTTTACATATCAAAACTCATGACATAAACGTAACAATTATGAATGTCGATATATATTCTTCAGTAATCTCTTTAGCTTGTCAAATAGAATCGAAAAAAAATAGTGTTGAATTTGATTGAATCAAAATATTTTTTTTAAAGTTCGAAACATATTTAAATCGGTGAATTAAAATCAAATAGAAACCATCAAATTTTTGGGTCCAGGAGATCAAAAATTTCAAAATCCCGTCTATACCCATTTCTAAGGGTGACTTTGCAAACTTTTTTAGCAAAATAAAAATTGATAAATTACCTGTTTAGTACTTAAGCTATTGATTTTAATATGTTTTGGTACTTAAACTTTTACTTTTTTTCAAAACTATGTCTAAAGTTTAGTTTTTATTTCATTTTAGTACATGTCGTTAAAAACTTGAAGTTTTATTTTATTTTAGTACCACTGTTCAAAATCAACATTAAGTTTTGGGAAAAAAAAATGAAAGTTTAGATATTAAAACAGACAAAAACTGATAGTTTAGATATTAAACACGTTAGATTTTTAACGACAAGATACTAAAATGAAACGAAAACTATATGTTGGTATGATTTTGAAAAATTGAAAGTATATGTTAAAACAGACCAAAATTAATAGTTTAGATACTAGATATGTAGTTTACCCACTAAAAATTTATTAAAATGAGATGACAATCAATGTAATTTACCTTATCTTAGAAAAACATAATATATTTAAGAAAAGTACACTCGTCTCAAATATAGGGATGACAATTTAATCCCAATATGACTGAGTTTGACTCTACTCGATGTGACAAGGTTAAGATTTTTTTTATAAAATAATATAGGTTTGAGTTAGATTTGGTCGGATTTTTTAAGGGACGAGGTTAGGTCAGGTTTAAGTAGAGGGCGAAAAAACTCCAACTCAATAATAATAATGTAATTTATTTAAAATTTTATTGTTTTTTAATAAAAATATTTAATTTATATTGGATCAAGTCGAATGTATACTCCAAAAAATCGAGTCCAATCGAATACATGATATAAAATTTTTGGTTCATGTCGATTTATGATGAAGAATACCTATTTTTAAGTCGAGTTAGGTTGATTAAAGTCTCGACCCTAACCCTAACCCGATCTGTGGACATCCATACTCAAATCTTCCATATCACAATACCGGACCATGATCCGACCCGGTCCAACTTAACCCATTACACCCATCAGCACGTGCTCGTCCCCCGTGTTTAGAAGACATCGAAAGTACCCTTCAGCGCCAACACCATTTCCCCCGCTTCTCTGGACTCTGGCTGAGAAAAGTGAGGGTGCCCCGCCATTAAAACTCCCAATATTTTTTGCCCTTCTTTTGAATACACAATGAAAAGCACCCTCTTTCCTTAATCTAAAGCTTACCCCTTTCCCCTTTTCTCCCGAGACTCGGCTAAGCCAGTCTTATTCTTTAGCTGCACCACTTTTTTTTTCTCCATTCCTACACCTATATTACCTTTTTGAGCACTTTTTGACATTAGATATGCAGTTTTAATTCGTGGGTTAAAGCTTGGTTTGCTTCAAAGTAAGTGTTAAATCCCTAATATCTTTGTTTTGTTCTGTTTTTTTGGTTGTTGGGTTTATAAAGTTCCTTTTCTTTAAATCAGAAAATAGTTTTTTTGTTTGATTAAATGCTCAATATTTTAGGGGGTTTCACTGGAGTTTCTTTTACTTTATTTGTTGGGGTTTTAAGGTTTATGGTATTTGATCATTTTGCTAAAATGGAATGGCTGTTTGGATCATCTTGTTTTACCTAGGGTTTCAATCTGTGTTCTTGAAGTGATTAAAAAGATTCAGAGTCTTTTCCCCTTTAAATTATTATAAACCTTGATTGTAAAGTGTCTTGTTCTTGTTATATTTGTTTGAAATGATCAGCTTCAGTGTAAGCATTATAAAGTTATATACAATGTCAGTTGAAGACTTGAAGTTTCTCACATTTTTGGTTTGAAGTTCAAAACTAAAAGACATCACCTTTTGAAGATGATTTTTTGCTGTTTTCTAATATAGCTGCTTAGAAACGTGAGGATATAGCTCTTCCTAGATGGCCTGGACCGAGAATGATGTAAATGACGGAGAAGGGAACCTGGTTGTAGAAAATGGTGTTGTAAAAGAATCACAGTTGGCTTCTGGTCCAAGCATTTCAACAGCTGATGCAACTCCAGCTCAAGAGACATTTGAAGGGAAATATTCTCTTTCTTATGCTAACATTCTTCGATCGAGGAACAAGTTTGCCGATGCTCTTTCCCTATATAACCGTGTAGTAGAGAAGGATAGTGGGTGCGTTGAAGCTCACATTGGAAAAGGGATATGCCAGCAGATGCAGAACATGGGAAGGGATGCATTTGAGAGCTTTACAGAAGCCATTAAGTTGGATCCTCAGAATGCTTGTGCTCTCACTCACTGTGGTATACTGTACAAGGACGAAGGTCGTTTGGTAGAAGCAGCTCAGGTATTCTCATTAGGTTTTTAACCATTATTTTTTGTTTAGCTCATTTGTGGGTACTTATATTTTGAGTCTTTGGTCTTCACTTGTTTACCTGTGCAGTCT